ATCCAATTAATCATTTTGTAGAGATCCATTGGACCCATCATTGAGGGTTTTTTTATTATTATTATTATTTGTGTGCCATAGCCATGACTATCATCAAACAACTAACCAGCCAACCAACCAACCAACCAACCAAACATTCATTTACGATACACACATACGGAAAGATAGAGAGAAAAAAACTCATATATCTATTCCATTACAATTCTTTTTTTTATGTATGTTGTTGTTGAAAAGAAAACAAAAATGACGTTTGACATTCATCATTTGTCATCGTCATCATCATCATCATCATCATCATCGTTGTCATTACTTGTTGTTTTTCGACACACACACACACACACACACAGAATTTAATTTTTGCTTTTGCTTTGCCTTACACACTGTCATTATCATTTTTTTTCCAGGAAGAGTTTATTAATGTTTTGTTCCAATAGCTTGATGATGATCAAATCAAACCACCACCACCACCACCACCACCACTCTGTATCGTTAACCTAGAAAACAAAAACAGGCAAAAACTTTTTCTCTTGAAGAATAAAATTCTTTTTCATAGAGTTTGTACGTTGGTGTTTTTTTTTGGTCATTTCAAATTTTTCTGAAATTTTCTTCACCAGATCCAAACCAAGTTTGATGTATCAATTTGTTCTATTTTTTTTCATTGAAATGAAAAACGAAAACGGAAATCAATTTACGGTCAATTTTTCCATTGTTTTCTTTTTATTTGTCTGTGTGTGCATGTGTGGCCATCATTAATCTGGTGGTAGTGAAACTTACCTTGGTGTGACATAAGACAACAAACGAATGAATGAATGAATGAACGAAAAAAAAATGACACCACAAAGATTGATTATTAATTGATTAAGAATAAATGGTGAATGAATAGTGTGTGTGTGTGTGTGTGTGTGAAGAAATTTTTCAATTAGAATCGCTTTTCATTTATATATAGCCTGATTGAATTGTTGATTAATTGATTGTCCACCATCACCACCACCACTACGACCACCGTTTACCATCATTTTTAGTCATTCAAAAATTTTTTTTCTCCTTATTTTTTCTTCCATCCATGTGTGTGTGTGTGTGTGTGTGTATGTTTTCCTGTTGATATCAATGAACGTGAAAAAAAAATTCGTCCTTATGACATGTGAACATTATATTTTGTTTTTTTTAAACCAAAGGTAGTGAAAAAACACACACACACACACACAATGACAAATTTGTCTCACCTGAAAAAAAATAAAATTTTAGTGTTCGATTCAATTTTTTTTTTTTTAGTTTTGGATTGATTGAAGATTGATCGATCCAGAGAAAATAACGATTTGATGTGCAATCGAAACCAAACCAACCAATGACCACACCATGAACATTTTTTTTTATTATTCAAAATTGACAAAAAAAAATTGAAGGAAACGATCATTATTGCGATCACATTGACGCTCGTGTTGATTTATGATTTTCTTGGATTTTTTTTTTTAATTTTTCTCTGTTCCAATCGTTGTTGTGTATGTGTGTGTGTGTGTGTGTGTGTAAAACTTTTTTTTTCTAGCCACAAATTGATCTTTGAGTTTTTTTTTTGGAATCGGTCAACGGTGGTCAATACTGTGTGTTTGTGTGTGTGTACATTATGGTTTTTGTTGTTCAATAATAATTGCCCTAATTGAAAAATACTAGCTGTGTGTGTGTGTGTGTGTGTGTATGTATGGAATGATTGAATGATCGAGTGAATAAAAAGAGAAAACGAGACCAGAAAATGATACCAGAAAAAAAAGAAGAGTGATTTTTTTTTTTTTTTTGGTGGACAATCAATCAAAGTTCATTTCATGTGGTGGCTTCAAATATATGAAATGAATTCATTCAATTGAAATGAATGATCCAGTATGATTTTGGTTCTTTTTGGCTTGGTAATAATAATAATAATAATAATCTTATAAAATATTGCAAATGGACAAATTTATCGTCATATTTCAATCGAGATAGTGTTGTGTGTGTGTGTGTTTGTGTGGTCACAACATCTGTCCACACAATCAAAATGTGTCCACATCTGATTTGTAATTTGTGTGTGTGTGTGTGTGTGTCCAAGTGTCCGATTCTTTTGGTTAAATCAAGATCAATCGATGATCATCACTGGTATGTCATACCACCATTACCACCACCAACATATGTCAAATGTAGATCCATCAGTCATTCTACTGCTCAGTATTTGTTTGTTTGCATGATTATTGGCCGGTTGTGATTGTGACAAACAATTAATCCTTTGAGTTTTTTTTTTCTTTCTTCTCGACACTGTTCCACAACATTCTTTAAAAGTTAAAAAACCACCCACCACACACACACCCCCCATACAGAACAACAAACTGTCCAATTGTCATTGGCCATAATGATGAATGGATTGAATCAATGATTGATCATTTCAATCCGTTTTTATTTGTTTTTTTTTTTTTTCGTCATCAAATGGTCATCATCATTGATTCAATTGGCAAAAAAAAAAAAAAAAGATTTTTCACCATGACCTTGTGAATGTGTTTTAGCAACGAAAAAAAAAAATTTAAAAATTTGATTTGATCAAACAATCAAAAAAAAAAAGTGTGTGTGTGTGTGAGAGTAGGCTGATACTAAAATAAAAAAAAAAATTTTTTCTCTTTGTGTGAATATGAAGAAAACCACTTGTACTTTGTTGCATTTCATTTCTTTTTGAATTTTTTTTTTATGTGTTATAGGCACCAACATTTACACAAAACATAGTCATGATTTTATTTGGCTGTCTCTCTGTGTGTGTGTGTGTGTGTGTGCATGTGTTATAATCTGTCAATCAAAAATTTGAAAAAAAAAATTTTTCTGTAGATACAAAAAGACAAACAAGAGAGAAAAGCCAAACACCATGTACTTTGATTTCAATACATAAATCGATCGATTGGGTATATATTATCTTCTAGTGTAATTTTGGTCGTGGTCAAAAAAAAAAAAATTTTTTTTTCTCATTTTTCTTTTCAATTATTATTATTTATTACGTACACTATAAAAAAGTTTTTGTTTTCAATTTTTTTCAGCAAAAATTGTTCATCTTTATGAATTTTTTGAACAATTTTATGATGGAACGGAATTGAAAATGCAGAAATTATTTTTGTCGAATCAATCAATCAACGATCGGATTGAATAAATCTTGTGTTGTTTTTTTTTTTTTTTTTGGGCGCCAAAACAAAAATCTAATAATGTTAACGGTATAACAATATGAATGATATATACAAAAAAAAACAAAGAATACTGCTACAACATGATTATTTTACCACTACTACAACATAATGTGGTGTTAGTGTAGCAACCATAACGAAAAAAAAGCGCGAATTTTTAAATTCTTATCCATGCGCATTCACTGATCATACAAAACAAACTAAATCGAGACAACGATGGATGATGAGTATGATCTGATGTTGATGTTGATGATGATCATCATCATCATCGATAATGATGTTCTGTATTCACTTTTTATTCAGCCGCGAATATCACATACACACCAGCAACACCAACGAACAAGAAAGAACATCATAATTTGACAGTAAGAACAAAAAATAAAAAAAAAATAAATATTTCGTCAACAGCAAATATGAATTAAATCTAGGTTCCTGTTCATGTTCTGTCATCATCATCATCATCATCATCAATCAATCAATCACAGCCATCAATCACTTGTCTTTCTTGTATCCAACAGAATAAAAGAAAAAGAAAAAAGATAGACATGCAAGACAGGACAGGACAGGACAGGACGCGACCAACAACGATTGACGAGCGGACGTCATCCACACACACACACACACACACACAGAAAAACAGCCATGGTTGGCATTTTCCATCAAAAAAAAAAGAAAAAAATATTTCTTTGTGGAATATAATCGACTCGAGCATCAATATGCTCCACCTACCTTCATCAATGTTCTCTCACCGACACACACAACATTGGATACATTTTTTTTTGCTATGTGCGTTGCGCACCTTGAACAGATAGCACTAGCACATTCACATCAACAGGCTTGTTGTGTTTTATGAATGTAGTAAAAAAAAAAATAGATAGTAGCATAAGAAATAATTGTTAACAAAAAAATAGTAGCAGTATTATCAAAGATCAGATAGAACAATATTTGAAAGTAGTAGCAGTAGTAACAGTAGCAAGTCATCAACATTTATTCAATGATACAGTAAATTCTCTTTTAGAAAAAACATTTTTTGATCACAATAATAATCCATAACCATATGGATAATACACTGTAAATATAAAAATATTTTTCAGTAGTAGTGGTGGTAGTAGTAGTAGTAGTAATGAGAAAAAAAAGATATCAATTGACAAGAGTCCATCAACAAACGACAATAACAAAAAAAAAACAACAACAACAACAATTTGACACGCGCATACACATTAATACAAAAAATTCACACCAATTCGTATTTTCGGCTATTGCCTGAATGAAAACATGCACACACACACACACACACACAACAAGAAAGAAAGAAATGAATACGATCCGTCGGTTTCATCTTGTCGTTGTTGGCAGATGATGATCATCTCATTCAAACATACACACACAGCATACAGCATACAGGGATCATCAGATCATTCAATTTTTTTTTGAAATTCACAATTTAAACTACTCAAGTCAAATATCAAGTCAGTCAGTCAGTCATCAGTGGTTGAGGTGTATGGATGGTTGGTGTTCTTTTTTTTTTTTTTGGTTTGTTTGTTTGCATAACATTTCCAACCAACTTTTAATCATGATGTAATTTTTTTCTGGTTTCCTGGTCTTTTTTTTTGTTTCACAGTTCTTTTGATGTTTATATAAATTTATATCACGTGTGTTTCAGTGCATGTGTATGTGTGTATGTGTATGTGTGTTATGTTTATTTCCGTTTCATCTACTACCTGATGACTTTATCAGGCTAACACATGTTTTTTCTGTTTGAAATCAAATGTGTGATGATGTCCATAACAACAACAACAACAACAACAACGGCGACGACGACCAAACTCAAATGAAAATCATATCATTTTTCATTTTATAAATACACGAAAACTATAAAATAATGATTCCCGGTGTATTATAATAAAATCTTTGTTAGAACAACAGCAAAATTGTGGTTATTTTTTTCCGGTAATTTTTTTTTTTTTTTTGAAACCCTCTTTATGTTTTAATCATAAAATGACAGTATTGTTAATGAGCTCAACAACAACAACTACAACATCAACGACAACAGTGACAACGACGACGAAAACCAATGATCAATCTACATTAACCGCAGAATCATCATCATCATCAACGACGATATCAACATTACCAATAATCAATATGACCTCATTGTCAACGACAACATTAACCACCGATAATTCTACAACAACAACAACAACGACAACAACAAGTACATCATCATCACAGAAACCACCTAAATCATCGATTGATAACGGAAGTGAAGAAAGTGACAAAATCAGTAATAATAATAATAATAATAATGATGATGATGGTGATAAAAAAATGAATTCATCAAAAACCACCAACAACAATAGAAATCATCATCATACAAATGATGATGAAACCGAAGATGAAGAAGATAATGATAATGAAAATATATCAACATTATCATTGAATAATAATAAAAATAGGACTGAAAATTCCGATACAAATGCAATGACAGCCAATGATGATGAACCTGATGATGATGATGATCATCATCAAGATGATGATGATGATGATGATGATTCTTTAGTCGAAAATAATAAAAAAAATCTTGTGATTGATAGTGAAAATTGTAGTGATACAATCCAAACATCATCATCATCATCAACGTCATCAAATAAAACAGTGCAACAGTCAATAACATCATCTTCGAATGGAAAACATGAAAAACGTGAAGATTCAGATAATGATTGTGATTCAAAACAAGAACAACAACAACAACAACAACAACAACAATCACCAATGAAAACCACCAATGATAATACAACTAGATCGATAAAACAACAAAATAAAAAATCAATCAGTGATAACAACAGTAATAATAATAATAATAATAATAAAAGAGTTAAAATTGATCAATCAATTAATCGATCATCATCATCATCATCACCATTGAATCATACTCTATCAACACAATCATTTGAATTACCGGTGAATAATGATAATGTTGATGTTGCTGAATTAGCACGTTTAAAAGCTGCTAAATTCATTCAAGAACGTACGAAGATGGCTTGTTTATTGCCATCATCATCATCATCCACATCTGCATCATCTCCTGATGGTAGTGGACGTTCATCAACAAATCATTTATTTTCATCATCATCGATACATTCCTCTTCTACTTCTGGTCAACAATCATCATCATCATCATCAAGAAAACGTAAACTTACTGTCAAAGATATATTGGTCTCACAAAGAAATCGTAGTAGTAATCAAGATCATCAAGTAAATCTTGTTCATAATAAACATCATCGTATACAGAATATTGTTGATAATAATAATTCGACAACATCGACAATTCTTCATCATCAATCACAAACACAGCCATTTGCTGGTCATTTACAAGGTTTTACCAATCAAATGTTTGGACCATTGGCTGGAATTCTTGATCCAGCTAACGCTGCTGCTGCTGCTGCTGCTGCTGCCAGTATGTTGCCACCACCATCATCATCATCATCATCGTCAGCATCAATAAATGATCCAAATATTAATCCATTGGCAGCTATTTCGGCAGCAATAGCTGCTGCAGCAACAAATTCCGGTAGTGGTGCTGCTTCTGCCGGCATAATTCAAGATCAACAACAACAACAACAACAATCAGCACATGCATACATATCACAACTTGCCTCAACACTTTCAGCAACAAATCTACAAACAACAAATCCAACGGCTGCATTTGCTTTGATGGCTTCAATTAGTGCAATGATGCAACAACAACAGCAACAGAATCTTACACAAAAAGAATTGGATCATCAATCGACATTATCAAATTCTACGGCCAATAATAATAATCCATTAAGTCAATTAACAAATTCATTGATTAGTCTAGAATCAACATTATCATCTGTCAACAACAACAACAACAACAAACAACAACAACAACAACAACATTCCAATCAAAACGATATTGGTCATGATGATGATGATAATGGTAAAATGACCAATGATATGAGTCCAATGGATTTTAGTTTTAAAAATTCAAAAAGTTCCGATTTACTGTTGTTGAAAAATTCATCAAGCATTAAACGTAAATCAAAAAAGAATTTAATTGCCAATAATAACGATAATAATAGCCAAACGAATGAAGATGTAGAATTTCCTTTAGATCTTACTGTTTCACAGAAACCTAAGTCATCATCATCATCATCATCATCATTATCTGATCATGAAGCATTGATGGAGAATATGGCTAAATTATCGAAAAATAATCCGCTATCATCGCTGGTATCACAGGTATCTGGTTTGATTGATAATCATGGTTCATCACCATCATCATCATCATCGGCTAATGTTCAGGGTCCGAATCAGGATACAACAAATTTTGCAGCTATGGCAGCTGCTGCTGCTGCTGCAGCGGCAGCCGCATCATTCACACCAAATATTCTAACAAGAATGGCCGCATCTATGGCAGCAGCTGGTGGTAGTGTTAACAATAATCCATGGTCACAATACGGAGCATTACAGCAAGGTCTCAATACAGCCAAATTAGCACCAAATGATGCAGCGAATTTACAAGCATTTCAGGCATTATTTCAACAAGTCACTGGTAATCAACAACCACCACCACAACCACCACCACCGATGAATGCACAAAGTCCCACAATGATGAATAATAAATCGTCAAATCAACAGCAGCAGCATCAGCAACAACAACAACAACAACAGAATCAACTATTAAACGCCAACGCATTGTTTCAACAATCGTTTCCTGATCTCTATTCATGGAACGGTGGTGTTGGAAAAGTTTCAAAAACGTCGACACCATCGCCATCTTTTGGCCCGTTAACGAGTCCGACACCAAGTTATACTTCTTCCCGCCATCATCATCATCCACCGCCACCGGCTGCTTCGCAACCGATGCGAACAAAATCTAGTAGTGGTCGTCAGAATCCATGGCAAGCACAATGGATTAATCGATCTAGTGAACAAACACGTGATGTATTCACCTGTGTATGGTGTAAAGAATCTTTTAAATCATTGGCTGAAATGACCGATCATATGAAACGTTCACCAAGATGTGGTATGGCCGGTATGCAACAACATCATGGTGCCGCTAGTGGAACAAGTAGCGGAAGTAGTAGCTCAAATTCTAATAGCGGTGGTGGTGGTGGTGGTCATCATCATTCTCATCATCATCAAACTACGACAACAACATCAACAACAACATCTTCAACGAATTCATCACAACAACAACAACAACAACATTCTAATTCTGGTCATCATCATCATCATCATCAGCATCAGCAACAGCAGCCAATTTCTAGTAATGTTTTGCCATCTGGTGGTAATAAATCGGGAATTTCGTCCATCATCATCACCATCATCAACTTCAATGAATTCACCATCTATTTCCGGTCAGGTTAATAATAAAGATACGAATATCGCAAATTTATTCACAAATAGTAACACCTCTACAACAACAACAACAACAACATTATCAACAACCAACAATAAAAATATTTCGGCCACCACCAATAATAATAATAATCAATCAAATAAATCTTCAACTACAACATCTGCGGCTGCTGCTGCTGCTATTGCAGCGGCAACTGCAGCCGCTGTAGCCGCATCATCTTCATCGACAACCATACAATCAACACCACCACCACCGCCACCACCACCACCACAATCATCAACAACATCGACATCAACATCGTCATCATCATCATCATCAGGTGCTGTGAATATGCCAAGAAAATTAGTACGTGGTCAAGATGTATGGCTAGGTCGAGGTGCCGAACAAACACGACAAATTTTAAAATGTAAGTTAATCATACATAAAAAAAATTAGTGGTCATTCAGTCAATCGATAGTAATCCAAAAAAAACAGCAACAATATTATTAGCAGTCGACGTATTAACTCTCAACGGCATTTTTTCATTTTTTTTAAAAAAAAAAAAATTTTAAGTTATAAATTATGTCTGTTGTTCATAATTTATCCTTTGAAATATTACTTTTTATTTCTTTTTTCAATGGGTGATATGGCCATTCGATTATTTTCGTTTTTTGGCCTGTGTGTGTGTGTATTAGTGTGATTTACATAAATTACGTATATGTGTGTGTGTGTGTGTGTGTGTGATATTATATAACCGAAAAAAAACCAATTTTCAAAAAGAATGGTTAGATAGATAGATAGATGGACAACAAACAACAAACACCATATATCAACACACAACACACACACACACACACAGTATGGCTAGAAGAAAAAGAAGAATTTTCGGCTTTTATTCATGCATTGAACATTTTTTTTTAATTCAGAAAGAAATAAGCAAATTTATGATTATAGCCTCCGTGTTAAAACTTTTGACGACCACGACGACCATCATGTTGATGATGATGATGATGATGATGATGGCGACGAATAAATAGAGAATGTGTCATGAAAATAGTGATGATGATGGTGAATTCGTTATTTTCGGGTATGGCTGGCTTTTTGAAAATGTGAATTAACGTATAAGAGAGAGAGAGAAACAATCACACACCGACCGATCGGCCAAAACCAAAACTAAACCGACGTGATCATAACCATAAATCATGATCCATATATATCTATCTAATATCTAAAACTATCCATCTATCGTTTGAACAAAAAAGTCAGGACGGTTTTTTTTTCTAATGTTGTTGTCGATAGTGAAACACAGGCCTGGCCATAATGTAGCTAATAAAGCAAAAAATCTATTCATCACAGTATGGTATGGTATACCCACACACACACACACACATTTTTTTTGTTTGGTCATTTATTCAATGATTAAATGTATGTCCAGCCGGCTGCTGTTATTTGGAATTTTGGTGTTTGTGTGTGTGTGTGTGTTTGTTTCATGGATCCATCCATCTTTGATACAAATATACAAAACACAACAACACTGAGAGAGAGAGAGAAAGAAAAGGTCCTAATCATGATGATTATAATGATGATGATGATGATGATTATAATCATCAATTTTTTTTTCTTATCTGGCAACAACATTTACCAATGACCATGGAATGATGATTATGATGATGATGGTTTGCGTTACATGTCTTCATAAATCAATTTCTCTCTCTCTCTCTCTCTCTCCTGTTTTTCCCTCGTTTTCATATCATATCACATCAGACAAACTGAACAATATATTCTATCTCTCTCTCTCTCACTTACTCACTCAAATATCATAAATATATCAAAAAAGCTATAATATTTTGTGTGTGTGTGTGTGTGTTTGTTCAATTCTTCAAATCTCGATAAATATGGTTAGATTTTTTTTGTTGTTTCAGTTTCTACTACCACCACCAACACCAACACCACCACCTCCTCTTTTAATATGGTTATATTCAGCTTGTTTTGCCATTTCTATCAAAATCAGGCTTGTCCAGCCTGTTTCGATTGACAGCTGTCAACATCAACCAAAAAAAAAAATCAACCAATATGTATCGTGTTGTGTGTGTGTGAATGCAATCATCATCACAATTTATGAATTTCATATATTCATAGTATTTTCTATATAGTGTTATAAAATAGGCAATGAAAAAAAATTTTTTTTTTGCTGTTGTTGTTGTGCCCCCTCCCTTTATGACTATGTAATATGAAGGTTAGATATTTTTCTCGCTGTTTGATAGATTGATTGTATAATAAGATTTGATCAGATCAGTGATCAAAATCAAAGATATGATTTGTGATAGTAAGAAAAACATGAATACAACCTATGGACATTTAAAATTGATTTTTAAGTTTGATTTAGTTTAGTTTAGTTTTTGGTAGACAGGTAGGTCATCCAAGTTTTCTCTCTTTTTTTTCGCTGATATTGATCGAGATTAATATCCGAAAAAAAAAATTTCTGATAAATGGCAAACTGATAACTGGATTGTGATGATAATGGAAAATTTTGTGAATAAATTCAATGAACAAAAAAAAAATTTTTTTCACATGCCAGATATCATCATCATTTGAATGATCTTGCAAATCAAACGCACAAACGCTCACACACAAACATTTGGCAATGGTTATTGATAAAATGAATGAATTTGGTATCGATCGATAATCTTTTAATATTTATTGAATATAGATGATAAATGAAGAACAATAATACAAAAAAAAATTTCTTTTTGTATTTTTGTACATTCCCATTTTTATTCATAATTACTTCAAATTCATTCATTTCATTCATATAATAAACATGAACACTTTGATAGATGGATAGATAGATTCTCTACATTTATAATGATGATGATCATTATCATAAATCATGTCCTATGTATGTATGAAATAGTAACAAATCTTCATTCGTTCATTGGAAATGCGTTAATGCCTATCAATTTTTTATTATTTCAGGTTTTTGAAGAATATTATTACACACACACACACATAGTCATTATTGTGTTATTTTTCTTTTTTTTGAATTAATTAATAAATGCCAGCCATTGCACCATTGAATGATTTTGTCTATCATATTCATAATGATAATGATGATGATGATGATGATGATGGAAATTGCTTTCCCCGAAAACAAAACAAAACAAAAATGTTGTTGTTGTTCATTCAACTAATATTTTGTTTTTGAATTTGATTGATTTGATCGATCATTCTCATCAGTATTGGCTTTTCCCCCTTTATAATAGATTGATTCGTTCATTTTGATGATTGACTAATGAATTTTTTTTTTTGTTTTGTTTTCATTGATTATTCATACAGGTATGTGGTGTGGCCAATCATTCAAATCATTAGCCGATATGACTCAGCATATGAAAGTTACACAACATTATACGAATATTATATCACAGGAACAAATTATTTCCTGGCGTAATCCTGAAGAATCATCATCATCATCGAAATCTCAACATCAACAACAACAACAACAGCAGCAGCAACAACAACAATCACAACAACAACAAGTGTTAACCTGTAAAGTTTGCGATGAATCATTTACAACATTAAAAGAATTATCAAATCATATGGTAAAAATTCACATTTTAAAGATCAACAACAAAATCCAAATTCATCATTGGATTGTATTACGTCATCATTATCACCATCACAAAGTAATGCTAATACCGGTAATAATAATAAATCATCAACTTCAGTCAACAATAATAATCGTAATACATCATCCGGTACCGGTAATAATGTGAATCAAAATGATCGAAGAAAAAAATCATTACCTGTACGTAAATTATTAGAAATGGAACGTGGCAGTGGTAGTGGTGAAAAAAAATCCAACAATTTTATCATTGATAATGATGATGATGACTATGACGTTGATGATAATGATGATGATGATGATGACGATAATGACGATAATGGTAATGAATCTGGATCAGAAAAACCGAATAAACAATTGATTGAATGTGATGATTGTAATGAAAAAATTGAAGCTCGAAGTTTTTTACAACATATCAAACAATGTCGATCAACAAAATCCAGTAGTGCTTCCAACAACAACAGTAATAATAAAAATATTTGTGATCAAATTGGTGATCATTCAATGAAAAATGGTGGTGGTGGTCAAAAACATAGTGATTCTGAAAGTGAATCATCAGAAAATCGTCATACATCATCATCGAATATAATCAATCCTTTTGATTCGATTGGTAGAAATTTGATGAAAAAATCCGGTGATGATAATAATTCAAAATTGTATGAAAATGATGTCGATGATGATCATATAGATGATGATAATTCTGAACGTAATACACCGGTTATGAATCATAATAATAATAATAATAATAATAATAATGATGATAATAATGCTGGTGGAAATGTATTGAGTGCATTGGAAAAATTGATTGAAAAAAACTTTGATACAAAATCACGACGATCTCATCAAACAGGTATACTTCAACGTTTAGGTATTGATGAAGAAGTATTTCCGCCATGGCAAAATATGGCACCTAGTCCAATTTCTCCGGCATCAATGATGGCCGTAGCTGCTGCTGCATGGAATCCATCAAACGGTGGTGGCAACAGTGGTGGTCTAGTTGGTGATTATTCACGTAGCAGTAGTAGTAATAGTAATCATAGTGGTAGCCATCATCATCATCATCATCATCGTGGTATTATGAATTCCGGTGTTGGTGTTGGCGGTAATTCATCAGCCACAATGGTAATACCACAGCTACGATATCGTCGTAATTCATCATCAAGTCATTCATTTAAAGACAAATATATAAATGCAGCTGCATTATGTAAAACGATAACCACCGAAAGTAATGGATCATTTAGTAGTTCACAAGAAACTGAAGAAGAATCATGTGATGATTCTAATTCAGAATATGGTAATAACAATAATAATAATCTAACTAAATCTAGTAAACGAAAAAAGAATTCATCACCGAAAATGACAGGAAAATCATCCACAAATAATAATCATCGTGGTAATATTGGTTTTAATTTTCCCATATCATCAATGTTAAGTTCACCAATACCACCAGCACGTCCAACATCAGCTTCATCGACTGCATCGTCATCGATATCACCATCAGAAGCACATTCCATTGGAACGTTGAATTCAAATGCAATTAATAATAATGATCTTTTGAATCGATTAACACCAAATAGTAGTAGTCATCGTAGTGAAACCGATGATGATCAAGATCAAAGTCCATTGAATTTATTCAAAAAAGCTAAACTAAGTAATGGCACATTGAACAATGATGAAACCGATGATGATGAAGTGGATGATGATGGTGAAGATGGTGAGAATCGATCAAGAAATGGTGACACAACAACAGCTAAAGCGGCTTCACATCATCCACTAATGCAATTACAAAAATTATTGGATAAAACGGATAATAATACCGGTAGAAGAAAAAATTCATCACATCACCACAATCATCAACGTCGATCATCACCATTTAATCAAAATTGGAACGATACATCAAGTGTACGATCACCGGCTGGATCATCAATATCCGATCATCAACGATCATCACCACGAACATTGACACCGAATCGAATTGGATCACCAGCGTCAATAAAATCCAATACCACCGAACAAGAATCAAATGTTGCGATGGCATCACCATCATCATCACCAACATCGAATTATTTACAAATGAAATGTGCATTCTGTGCAACGCCGATTTCATCACGCAATGAATATCGTGTACATTTAGCTAAAATACATTTATCTATGCGTGATTCTGCAGATATTTCAGCCATATCCGATGAAGAATTATTGCTATTAGTTTTGGCTAAAAGTTCTAATCTTCCATTGGTCAATAGTTTAACAACATCGGGTAAAAATCCAATGGCTACTACCACCACATCATCAACTATAACAACAACAACGTCAACAACAAAATCAGCCAAAGAATCACGACGAAAATCATCACGTACATCATCATCATCATCACATAATAATAATGTACATGATGTTGATTCAGAAATGGCAAATGTTGCCGCTGCAGCTGTTGTTGCAGCAGCAACAGCATCAAAATCAAACGCATCATCATCATCATCATCATCACAATCACCACCGATAGAAACATCGCAATCAAAATTTTTAAAATATACAGAATTGGCTAAACAATTATCGAGTAAATATGTCAATTAAAAAAATTCTGGTTCATTTGATGATTCTAAATGATGATCATCAGAATAAATTCCATTCAAAACATTCCAATTATGCAAAAAAAAAAAATGATGTGCATGTGTAAGATCGGTTTTTTCTTCTGTTTGGTGCTAAAATCAATTTTACACTATATTAATTCAACCTACACACACACACCCCTTCACTCACTCTCACACACACACAGTCGCCATATCAATTCCACTTGTTGTCTATTATGATTATGATTATTATTATTATTATTATAACCTACTGCTCTCTATTATTCTGTCTGTCTGTCTGTTTTTTTTATCTATCTAAAAATACTAAATATCTTTCTCTTTCTCTTTATATTATGTATTTGAAATTCGGTAACTATAACCGTTGCTGTTGCTGCTGCTGCCGCCCCCTTTTAAAACGACAGTATATATACAATTCAATTCATTCCACACACACACACACATACAGAGATACACTTTTATAGAAAAAAAAAGTTATCCATCATATATAGCTGTCATCTCACAATCTCCATTGTCATTTCTTTTTTTTTTTGTTTCTGATTTTTTTTTTTTTGATTCGTTCCTGGAACATTTCCATGTGTGTGTGTGTGTGTGTCTATGTGTCATTGTGCCATTCCCCTCGAAAAAAACATACACAAGTATTAGTGTGGTAAAAAAAAGTGGTCCAAAAAAAAATTACACAGACAGACACACCCATTTACATATTTGATTCAATTTTCTATTTATCTAGTAGAGATACATATCATCTATATATATATATATTGGAAATTTTTTTTCATTTTTTTTTCTGCTACTGATTGGTTTGATCAATCAAATATCATTTCTATTTTATAATAATTAATCGATGATGATTCAAAAATTTTTTTTGTTCGTTGGAACATGAAATGATTTGTAACAACAACAACAACAAAACCGGAAATTCTCATTCTAAATTCTCAAAACACACACACACACACACACAAATAATTATTGATATTATGCATTGCACACACACACACACACACACAGACAAATTCTCAATAATTCCAAATTCGGCATCTCACACAGTCAAAACAAAACAGAAAAAAAAATTCATTCATTCAATGCACAAAATCATTATCTTTTTTTTTCTTTCCTGTCAAATCGATTGATTGATTTTTTGTTTCTTTTCGTTTTTCTTATTGTTTGTTTGTTTTCATTTTTTTTAAACCAGTGATGATTTTTTTTTCTTCTTCGGATTTTATTGATTATTAATATACCAAAAACGAAACAAAACAAAACACACACAATACATAGACATTTGATTTGATTTAATTCCTTCCGATTGATTGATTGATTGATTATTTGATGAATCTCAATGTTTTTTTTTATCATTTTCGTTTCGTTCTGTTTTTTTTCATTTTTCTGTCTCTCAAACACACACACACACATACAACGAAACAGAAACAAATTCTTGGCCAATTTTTTGTCTTTGTAAATTTTTCAATTATTGATTATTGATTATTTATGGAATAAATGTATTTCTCTCCATCATCAGTCATCAGATTCCATCGCTATTATATCTCATTATTGTTTATATTATCAAAAATTTTTTTGAGTAAAAAAACTGACCTGAATGACGTAAAAAAAAAATAAAGAAAAACAAAAAAATTATCCGATTGATTGGTGATGATTATAATCGATAATGCTGCTGCTGTGAAAACAAAGTAATAAAAAAATGAAATCTTTACACAATTGCGTGATTGGTATCATTTAAATCTGATCATGAAAATCAAATCAAATCAAGTCGAAATTTTGAATATAAAATTCAAATTAAATGGTCAACAAACACACAATCCAGTTTGGATGAATGAATGAAACCAATGATGCTTACCTTCAAAAAAAAATGAACAAATTTTGCAACTATTTTAATTGTCCACATGACCAAGTAAAGAGGACCACTGTCTTTCGTCCTAAATATGTTTGTGTGTGATTAAAAATTTTGTTTTTAGTTTTTCTTGGCTGGTTTATGATGATCATGATGATGATGATGATACACGCATACAAACAACCAAAGTTAATAAATAAAAAAAAAAAATAAAAGAATTCTAAATGTCCGATAGACGATCATTTATTGAACAACAGTTGCAACAACAACAACAAAAACGTTTTATCGACTTAACAATTTTAAAACATTCATTTTTGTTGTTGTTGTTCGATATTATTTGATGTTGTTTAATTTATTGACCAAATACACATGATCCAATTTACTTTGTATTATATATGCGTATTTATTGTCTGTCTGTGTCTATGATAATCATCATTATAATCTGCTTTTTTTTTATATTGTGTGTCTGTGTGTGTGTGTGTGTGTGTCAAATTGTAACACTTCTTTATTGCTTCTTCTTCTTCTTTTTATGGATGGTGTGAGAGAGAGGAGAGGGAGAGAATCAAAAAATAAAGAAAGAAAGAAAAAAAAATTAAGCCAATTCTTTATGAAGAAAAAAAAAATTATGTTCGAGTGATGATGATGATCGGTGATCGGTGATCGGTGATTGATGAATGTTTTTAAAAATGTATGTCTTAGTGATTCTTTCGAATTTATCCTAATGTGTGTGTGTGTGTGTGTGTGTGTGTGTGTGGAACAAATTTCGCCAGACAAGTTTAAATAGCACGAACAGGAACCTAGAGAATTATAAAACAAAGCAAAACATTGCTGTTGTTTGTGTCCTTCAATTTCATTTTATTTTTTTTTTCTTACTGTCAAATCGATGATGATCATAGGATGATGATTGTTAATAATATGGACTTGTGATATCGATTATGATGATGATGATGATGATGATAATTCGAACGAAAAACAAAACAAAAAACAAAATTTTTGTTGTTGTTTGATAGCACGAAACATATCAAGACAAATTATTTATGACTTGAACTTGTTGTTTGTTGGCTGGCTGGCTGGCTTGCTGGGTGTATATAATAATAATCATCATCATCATCATCATAAGCTAATAATAATGCTAATATATTGTTGTTGTTCCAAAAGAATGTTTTTTTTCAGTAATGTAATAATTTCTTTGTTTTTTTTCTTGTTTGACCATTATCATTATTCACACTGTGTGTGTGTGTGTGTGAATGTCCCTGTGAATGATATCGATTATCAAGAGAAAAAGAGAGAAAAAACCTGGTAATTATTACCAGGTTTTTCTCTGTCCAGATATATAGAAATTATCATTATCGATGATGATGATGATTGCTTGAATTCATTTTGAACGCAAAAAAATATATATATAGAGAGTGGCTATTCTCATTTCATAAATTTTTTCGTTTCATTTTGTTTTGTTTTGTTTTGTTTTGTTGTTCTCCTGTCTATAATAATAATACAATTTATCATCAAAACAAATGAAATGAGATTGTCCATTTTTTTTTTCATCCATTCATTTTTTTTCAAGAGAATCATTATAAATATCATATACTTTGAGCCAATAACCATAGATCATCATCATCATCGATTCATAGATAGTAAATAGATTATAATCATAATGATGATCATGATCATGATTAGTATGGGCCCAAAAATCTTGTCCATTGAATCTATTGTTAGGAACCTGATTCAATTATGATGATCATCATCATTGTTGTCTTGTTGTCATTTGGGCCCGAACATTTTTGTTTGTCATTTTATTCCACTCCTCTCTCTCTCTCTCTCTCTCTCTGACTCTCTAGCTCTTATATATCGGTAAACAATCATTAATCTTCTTCTTTGGTGTGCCAAACTCACTTTTTTTCCTACTATTTTCACAATCTATCGATATATGAATTTATTTAGTTCATGTCATTCAAAAAAGTCAAAAAATGAACCAATTTGCTTTCTCTCATTCTCTCTCTCTCACTCACATTCACATTTTTGTGCATTCATTTCAATTGAACCATTTGGAAAAGAAATGTGGAAAAAAAACTAAAATCCTATGGTCCTATTGTTTTGATGCTTTTTTTTCCATTGATCGGAAAATAAAACACAAAATTCAAGCCTATTTAGACTTGTCCAAATGTTTATTATTATTATTATTATTATTATTATCACCATCATCAAAATGCAAAACAAAAAAACTTGAACTTCAAGGTTCTTCTTTCTGTTTCATTTTTTTTTTTTTTTTGGTGCTTGAGGCCTATAGAGATTGATTAATATACATTTTTCAATCGATCGATTTTTTTTATTTTTGGTTCTCAAAAATGATGACTGAATGGTTGGTCCAAATTTTTAGTGTAAAAAAAAAAAAAATTCAGTTTCTCTCTCACAGACACACACTCATTCACTTTTGTTGCTGCTACTTAGGACACATCAATGATTAATAACCAATCTATTCTTTCAATTCATTCATTTCATTCTCAAATTCTCTCCCTTTTTTCTTTTCTCTACTCACTGACTGACTGACTGGCTGGCTGGCTATGATTAGCGCTTGAAGCGAGCATTATTAATTTGGATATATATTACATATATCAAGGCCATTCATTATGATTCCATGTCATTTGTCATATACATTTAGTATTGGAAAAACGAAGAACAATGAAATAAATCGAAACAAAACAAAACAAAAAACTAATGATGATGACGACGATGATGATGATCGTCGTCAATTCAATTCTTATTATTTTGATGTGTCAGTTTTTTTTTTGGATATGAGCAGAACAAAAACTATAATTCATTCATGTCAAACAAGAGAAAGAAAGTGAAACAGATATGGAAAAAAAAATCCATGAGATTTGATGCCATCATTATCATCATCATCATCATCATCATCAATGATAATCAATGGCAATTCATTGCATCTCATATCGACATTTTCCTTTTTACTTATTCAGCTTCTTATTTCGTGAATCGGAAGAAGCAATGGCAATGGGTAGAACAAAAAAAAAATTCTGGGTTTTTTTTCCATACACAAGACCAGAAATCAATGAATTTTATGATGATGATGATGATGATGATGATGTTTGATGTGCTCTTTGGTCTCTATTGTTTTGTTTTGTTTTTACATTTATCTTTGTGATAGTTTTCTTTTACTGATGTATGT